AGAGAGAGAGAGAATAACCTAATTCAGAAGATTAATGTGCTATGGATTAAAACTTTAATTTGTTTTGTTTGACAACTATTTCTTACGGCAGATAAATCTGTTATCGCGACGAAAGAGTGATTTGGAGAAACGTATCTCTTCTCTGACACAAGACAGGGAACACTTAAACGTCTCTCTGGAGGAGTCAAGCGATCGTATATTCCTATTGGAGAAACAATTACAACAACAGGAGTGCGAACTCCGGACACAACACAAAGACCTGGAAGAGCTGAGACACGCCAACAGTCAACTACACAACAAACTGGATGCGGTCGCGCGCCGGTCAGTGCCATCCGATCACAACAGTGTCACCGGTGGTCATCACTCCCTCTTCAATGAGATCGAGATGTCTTCCCAGTCGTCAAACGACGAAGACTTGAGATCATTGAACGGTCGCATCGATTACACCGAAGACGAGATCGATTGCGACGAAAGGGACTCCTCTTATAGTTCATCCATTCATAGCGACTCATCCAAAGTATTATCATTTGTTTTAATTATTTTATTAAACTCTTGAAACTCTTATGAAATAATTTTTAGAACTTTAAATGTTTGAACAATTAGTTTATTCGTTAAGTTTTCAACCAATTTTGTCGTATAAATTGGTTTAAATTAAACAAAATAACTGTTTTGTCATCCCTTGTGATAATACCATAATTATGTTTTCCCTGAAAACAATTACTGTGCAATAATTGTTGACAATATCTAACCGTTTGATAATTCATCCCATGATTAGCTCAAACAGGAACTCATTGAAGTTTACCATCTTTTGCGCCAAACGTGCCATGAATTGCACCGAAAGAGGGAAAACAGCGGTAACTTTAACTCCACTCAAGACAGCGGTATTCAAACGATTCCCGAAGAGATACCGATTAATCAACTGAAGAACGGAATGTTTCGCACTATTGTCAGGGATTTGGTGTCACTTCTTAACGACTTGAATATGGAATACAACGAAATGGTATTAATTATAGACTATTTTTCTTTGCTTTTTTAAAAATTATAACATTTCATATGACATAATAATAGTTTATAGTTTTGTGAATGTAATGGGAATGACCTTAAAAATACTGATATTTATTATTAAGATATGATATGACTATTATTTTTTTCTCGACAAACAATAGCCGTGTATATCGTGTCAAACGGTGGCCGACGAGAGGTGCGAACTCGAGAAGTTGCGCAAAGAAGTGACCGCACAATCGGATCAATTGAAACGATCGGGCGATCAGTTAAACGAAATGACCAAACAGTTGACAATTCAAGACACGGAATTGACGGCCATTAAAGAGGAGAGAGAACTGTTGAAGAGTGACATCAGTAACGCTACGGGAATGGCGAAGGATGAGATCGTGAAGAGGGCGTGGGAAGTGAGGGATCAGGCGGTGGCCCGAAAGAACGTGGTTGAAGTGGAACTGGCGAAGACCCGCATCGAAGTGATGCACATTAATAGTCAACTCTTGGAAACTATTCAACAGAAGATTGAATTATCACAACAACTGGAACAGTGGCAGGTATTGTACCCCAAACTCCACCACAACCCGACCCATAACCGCATACATACAGTATTAATACTGTATTAATACATATTCATTACCCCTCCCTATATATTACCCCTGATTACTGTGTTTGTATCAATAGATTTATTTTGGTTTTTATTTTTCTTGAAAGTAATTTATAATAAATATATTAAAACATTAGAATTAGTTTATTGTTTAATTATATTTATAATAAATTTAAAATAAACAAAAAATAAGTA